TTCTTGCACACCTGCTCCTGGGTGGCCAGGCTGGCAGCTCTCCTGCCCTAGACGGCCACTTTCCTGTGCCTAGTGCGGACGTCGTGGACGAGGTCCATGATGTCCGCACTAGACCATGTGGGCGCCCGCTTCTTGCAGACCTGTGCAGGCTCCCGGGACCTGGCAGCTTGGTCCCAGGAAGAGGTGGAGCGCTGGATGGCAGCAGGTAGCTGGTTCGTGCCGTGCCAGGTGCAGGGTCTGCTGGCTGGGGGCTGGCAGGGCTGGCCCCGGGCACGGGACCGAGTTTCCCTGGTGGTGCCCAGAGTGGCCACCAGGGAAAGCTGGGTAGGGCCAGCCTCCCACTAGTTGGAATCAAGTGGCCACACAGCCCTTACTTCGAACTGCTTAATTCGAACTAGGCGCTAGTCCTCGTAGAATGAGGTTTACCTAGTTCGAATTAGGCGCACCGCTCGTTCGAATTAAGTTTGAACTAGCGGTTTGCCTGTGTAGCGCCTATCAAAGTTAATTCGAACTAACGTCTGTTAGTTTGTAGTGTAGACATGCCCTCAGAGACTAACAAATATCTAGATCATGAGTCTTGCGGACACAACCCACTTCTTCAGATCATTTTTTTAGTCACTGGTTTTTAAGTTCCTAGCATGGCTGCTGTCTGCTTGGGGACCCCTTCTGTGCGGCTGTCCTCATGGCACTGGACAGATGTGTCGGTGGCCCCAGCTGGGGGTGGAGACCCTAAGGCGTGCCTGGGTGGGGCTGCCCCTCAGCACTGGGAAGGGAGGCTGTGGGGCTGGAGCAGCAACATCTGCCAGCCTGGGCCCCTCCTTTCTCTGGGGGGTCCCCTCTCCCCAGGTTCCCCCCCTCTCCTGGATGCAGAAGTGGCTGATGAAGGGAGAGTGAGTTGGGGGAGGGGCTTAGCCAAGGCGGGGGCGGGGCGCCCCTGGGGGCTGCCCCTCCCGCAGGGAGTGCAGCGCGGCGCGAGGCCCGGCGTTGCTAAGGCACGCGCGGGCCCC